TTGTTAATATCATGTCTGCTATAAAAGGGCCAGATGATTGTCTTGCAGAGTCTTTCTGGGTTTGCTGATATATGTTAGTGTATGTGGTAGAATGTACTCAGGTTACCATACAGGTTAACTCCTGAACTTTGGTTTTGTTGAGTGGTAAATATAATCTGAGAGGGAGAGCTGAATGGTTCTTAGTAGCCATTTCTTTTCAAGTTGTGTGGAAGAAGAGAAAGGTAGATTGATTGAAGAGTTGGGAAGAGGGAAGTCTTTGAAAAGGAAATATTAACATGACCAAAGGGGGATTTGATTTAGTTTTTAAAGTGATAAGCGACATGTGTCCTTTACCTGTGTCTCCATGAATCTTTATTTTTTAATTGAAGTGTAACACACAGTATTATAATGGTTTCAGGTGTACAATACAGTGATTCAATAATTCTCTACCTTACTCAGCTCATCACAAGTGTGCTCTTAATCCCCTTTATGTATTTCACCCAGCCATGAATCTTAAATTTATATATTTATAGCATTCAATATAAGTAGCACTATGGAGTGAGATCTATTTTGGGGATTCATCAACGTGTGGAATCCTGTTTCATGGTGGGCAGAGACTGTAAGGAAATCCTTCCGCTCAAGACACACATTCTGAAGATTTTAGGCATTTTGTAATTGTAGGTAGTGATTCAGCCCTTGGGATAGGATACTATATCCTCAGTGCTCGATGTTCAAACCTGACTCTGGCCTATGAATCTGTGAAAAATTGGACAGATTTGTTACTATTGTGGACCTTCTTTCCCCTTTCTACATCCAATAGGGGTGTACTTTACCGATGGAAAGAAATGGCTTCTGAGGAGATCCTGCAGACACCATGGAACAGTGCCCTCTACTGTTCCTGAGGGAACCTTGTGGCCGCAGTCAAATCCTGAGAGAGGCACACTGTTCGAGAGCCCAAAGCAAGAAGGTCTGTTTTCTCCGATGATTAAGACACTGAAAACTGCTGCACCTACAGCCAGTCTCTTCTGTAAATATTCAGCAGGGGAAGTAACTGCCAGTTTACCTCCCCTGTACTTGTTTCTAGGCAGGCTCCGACCCCTCATAACATATGAATGACCCCTTCCTGTTTCACTGCGTAGGGCTTCTACTAGTTTTGCTCTTTAATGGAAAGAACTTTTAAAACAGTGATTTTAACCATTGATTTTAACCATAGCCTTTAGAACTCTGTTTCTCAGAAATATAAAATCAAAAATTCGATACCACTCTCAGAAAGCATAGTTACTAGCTGTGATGAGATAAAGGCATATAGCATACAAACCAGCTAGTATATACTATACTAGTAGGGGATCAACCTATTTTTCTTCCTTTCTTTTTTTTTTTATTCCTCTTTCCCCTTTCTGCCCCTTCCTTCCCTCCTCCTCCTCCACCTTTTTAATAAAATTATCTAAAATACAACAGAATCTCCTCCAGTTATGATATTACATGATGAAAATTGTTTTCCTGAGTTTCTCTACCTTTTTTTTTTTTCCTTGCTGGCTTTCTTTACCCTCTGAGTAAACATCCGTGCTCTGAATTCTCTCAGCTGCTGCATTCTGGGTATAACCCCAAACAATACAGTCAACATTTACCTTTACTGAAACAACAAACAGAGAAATTCTGTGGATTTCAAGCTGGTGTTAGGGATTTGTGTCCCCTACAATAACTTTTGAGCTGTTTTTCAGCATCTTTCCACTTGGCTACAGCAGAGAAAATATAGTGAATAATGAAATATGCATGAAAGAAAACTTTAAAAAAATTCTCTTAAAATAAATGACTCAAACCACAATGTGTGAAAATACTCTTTTTTTTTTTTTCATGATTGAGTTTCAAATTCATGCATTTAGAAGGTGTGGATTTCTTGCTTTATCATGCGGTGGGGTAAATGGGAGCTGGCCCAACCTGATCTTTTTCTTCTGCCAAGAATGAAATCCAATTCAATGTGGCATGGCCACCCAGTAGGAAGAAAACTGCCAGATTCCGCTGGATCCTAAAATTCCAGTGCCATTCAGTGTAGGAATAAATGTTGCTTGCAGTGCAGACCTTTATTGACATGGTGGGTGCTGGGTAAATAACTCAGTTATGTGTACTGTCTGCAGGTGTTCTGTGTTTTTACTCTAATAATTGCCAGGAGAAAAGGGTTTGGGGTTTTTTTTTGAAGCCTGGGATTAAGAAAGAATTTACTTATTGTAGGTAATTTGTCAAGAAAGAGAGTTGTTTAATTTTATGGTATTTCAATCTGGTTACTTCTATTTAAAATATCCATCTAGGGTAAAAGATGTTTTTAGCTTTTCAGCAGAATGGTTTTGCTGACACATGGTCGGCTTTAGTGCTTGGCCTCTTACTCTTCCTCTCAGGCTGGCATCATCCTTGGATCTGATGTCCCCTCCTATTGGACATAGGCATGGGGTATTACTCCCTCCTCTGTTTTTCTGCTGTGGGACTCATCATGTATGCACATAATCTGTCTCTTCTTTTCACCTGCCCAAAGACAGATGGTATGTCTTCTCTATGTCCCCAACACTACACAAAACTAGGGATTTAACTTCTTTTTCTTCCTTTTCTCATTTCTCTTCCTTTTCCTTCTCTCAAATCTTGAGCAATATGACCTCATCATTTTGAGGAATGATTATTTTTAAAATGTAGATGTACAGAAATGTTGCCTAAACAGACCAGTTGATACTAAGTTAGAAAACCCAGGTTTGACTGTAGAAAAGAATGGCATGTTGAATATTGACTTTAGTAAATAAAGGTTTCTCGTCTCTAGGGGCAGAAGTTCCAGAAAAGCCTGAAAAATGCCTGGAAGGGAAGGTGTGCTCCTTGGGGCCTCCCTTGGTATTTTGAGTATTGAGTCTTCAGAGTGGCCCCCTGACCTCCCACTCACCCACCCATTGTGGGTGTCCTGAGAGTAGGTTGACTTCCTAGACTGAAGGGTTTCCTAGGCAGGCGAGGGTGAGGCTGGCAAAAACTAAAATCAATCTTGGTCCTTTAGAAACTTGACACTGGAACAGAGGGCTCCGTATAGGAATAGAAGGAGAGATGCATCTTGAACTCTGGCACTGGGACCTTAAGCATAGGTACCCTTGGCTGAACTTAACGCTGAAGCATAGGACGTACTTCCTTCAGCAAAACACACTCTGCAGGGCCTTAGACTGCACATGAGGCAATCTTAGGTCTTGGTCTGTTGACATGGTTCTGTTTGATTTCTCTTGTCCTGGCATAATTAAAGGTGACCTTTTCTATTATCACATGTGTCTCAATTTTTTTAATGCTGACTTTATTTTTGAGAGCTAGAGAGAGAGAGAGAGAGAGAGAGAGAGAGAGAGAGAGAATGGGGGAGGGGCAGAGAGAGGGGGACTGAGGATCTGAAACTGGCTCTGCACTGACAACTGAGAGCCTGGTGTGGGGCTCAAACCCACAAACTGTGAGATCATAATCTGAGCTGAGGTTGGATGCTCAACTGACTGAGCCACCTAGGCACCCCACATGTGTCTCAAATTGGAGGGTAAATTATTTGATCACTCTGTGTAGGACTAATTTTCAGTGTTGACATTGTGTGGCCTCAAGAGGCAATGAATTAAGGGGTTTTTATGTTTGTTCCCTGCTGGTGTGGAAGGCAGAATGACCCTTCCCTGCTCTTGGATTTCAATGCTGTCAAGGCTCTGGAGAATTTAGGAGGCTCGGGAAGCTTCAAGAGGGAGTTTGAATATATCATGTTAATAAGGCACGTGGATGCTTCAGCAATTAATTGGAAAAATAAGAGGTTTGATTATATGTTATCCCAAGTTTTGAAGCAGTTTATAGTCTTATGCTATTTAGTTTAGAATCCTTGCTTTAGCCTTACAAACCTAATTATGTACATTTTTTTTTTTTACCGAGGTGTTTTTTTGTTTGTTTTTTGTTTTTGTTTTTTTCCAATGGCTTTTCAGTATCTCAATCTATGATCTTGAGAAGTTGTGGTTCTTATTGGCAGGAAGACACATGCAGTGAACTATAGCTTTAAGAATTTGTTTAATTGATCAAGTTGGTTGTTTACATGTGAAGCTAAAATTAGTGATTAAATGGGCATCTGCTTTTGCCTGCTCAGTATCCCTTTCTCTTTTTTTGAGGGAAGTGAGGCCCTTTTTCTTACAGAAACACATTTCATTGAGTTTAGGTGGAGTTAACTTCCTTAACTCTTTCCCCCCTAACCTCCTCTATCCCTTATAAGAGGTTGGAAATGTGATTTCACAGATTCATGCTTGAATCTGAGCAATCAGAGCACTCCCATTCCTTAGGCCACACTGAGTTTGGGGCAGGGGTAGGCCCTTGACCCCAGCTAAGGCAGTTTCTCTGAAATTGCCTGCTGTAGCTATTGGAAAAGATGGTTTCATTCTACCAAGGCTGCTAATCTTGTACTATGGGACTTAGGTTGTTGGCACTATCTTTCCACTAAAAGGAGAATGCCAATGCAAAGAGAGAGTGGGGAAATCCCAGTGGCATTGCTTTGAGACTCCTGGACCCAGCCATGCCAGAAACCGCAGATTTTTAGTTCCTTGAGGCAATACCCCTGCCCCCCCCCTTTATTTCTGCGAATTTACAAATTAGCTTAAGTTAAGGTCACTTATAACCAAAGAGTTCTAATATAAGTAGTGAGCAATCTTCTGCATTGCAGGGATCCAGTCTCTCAGATTTTAAAGATTTTCTAGAAGAATATATCAATTCTAACTTTGCTGAGCATCTATGACATTGTTTCCCAAGTAGTCTAGTTTGTTTACTGTCTGGTGCTATTTAGCTTATCCTGTAGTCCTAGAAATCTGTTGACAGAGCTTTCTACTGGGCAAGATCAATCTTGGAAAGACAACTGGAGATGGAAGATAATCAAGTAGACAGACCTGAAGGGAAAAGCTGAAGGAAACCTCTTCCCTCCGCAAATTCCGCCGTCTCTTAGTCTACAGACTCAAGACACCACTTGTCTTCTTTTGCTCAAGGTTATTTCTTATGTATCAGTGGGGTAACATGTCCTCTGTCTCAAGTGTGAGAGATGGAAAGAGGAAGCATCTTAGCTTCCACAGAATGCCCCTGCTCAATATCTTGGGCAGTGTGTTGATAAGGAGATCTGGATTTATAAAACATATGTGGAAAAACAAGTAGCCCAGCAGTCTGATGAAAAATAGGGTGGTGGAAAAGACATATTGAAAAAACCTGAAAAGAGAAAGTCAAGAAACTGTTAACCAGAGGTTAGGAAACCAGGAACAAAATCAAACTTATGCCTAAATGCATGTCTGGCTCCTTTTTGATCTTCAGATGTCTCCCACTAAGTGTTGTCTTCATTACCAACAACCCCTTATAAAGGCAGCTCCTTCCCATACTCTGGCAAGCCAGGTACTCTCTCTTTGATCACCATGTTTGATTTTCTTTTAGTGTTTATCACTGGCTGAAATGATCTTGTTTTATATTTTGTTTTATTTTTTTGTTTTGCAGAGTTGTTTTCCAAAGTATTTTGCACCAATTTGTAACCCATCAGCAGGGTATGTGTTTCTGTGGGTCCATATTTTCTCTAACACTTGATATCATCAGATTTAAAAAATTGTGCCAAATGTGTGTAAAGTAATGGGCTTAATTTGCATTTCCCTGATGAACAATGATGCTGAACATCTGCTCATAGGTCTTACATGTCTGCTCTTGCCCATTTATCTAGTAGGTTGTTTGGGCTTGTCTTATTGATTCGTAGGAGTTCTTTATATGATCTTGATATCAGTCCTTTAGGGGCGCCTGGGTGGCGCAGTTGGTTAAGCATCCGACTTCAGCCAGGTCACGATCTCGCGGTCCGTGAGTTCGAGCCCCGCGTCGGGCTCTGGGCTGATGGCTCAGAGCCTG